TAAAGAACCAGCAATAAGAGAAACGCAGGAATAGGTAATAAAATATATATTTACAAAAAAAATACAACGGTGGTAGTGCACGGTTTTGCACGGCGGTAAACGGAAAATTAAACAAAATGAATGATTACAAGTGATTGATATTACAAGAAAGTAATTACGGCTCCCTATATACAGAGGGAAAAAAATAATTAACAAAAATAAATTATTAAAATTGAAGCTAGTTAAATATTAATAGTTCATTGTATTCGGAAAATTTATTAAAAATAAATTATTACAATTGAAAACTAATTAAATATTAATGGCTCCCTTGTATTCGGAAAATTTATTAAAAATAATTACAATTGAAAACCAATTAAATATTAATGGATCCCTGTATTCGGAAAATTTATTACAATTGAAAATTAATTAAATATTGGGAAACAATTACGGTTCGCTAGCACCGGAGGCTTTGCGGTCCGGGAATTATAAAACTCCCTGTATACGAAAAATTTATTAAAAATAAATTATTACAATTGAAAACTAATTAAATATTGGGAAATATTTACGGTTCGATAGCACAGGAGGCTAAGCGGTCCGGGAATTATGAAACTCCCTGTATACTGAAAATTTTAAAAATAAATTATTTAAATAAGACGGAATCAAATGTAAGAAAATAAATGAAATCAAAGTTTTCGGAACGTCCCTGTATCTTAGTTCGGAAAGATCGACGCTCTGGTAATTTTCGTCGAATGAGAATGATATGATTTACGCGGTGTTTGGACGACGAAGGCGACGCTTATAGAAAAGATTATTTTGATATTTGCCAAAGCCGATCAAAACGGTGTGTGAATTAATTTTATAGAAAACGTCGGGCTTCGTTCAATAATTAGTTGTTGACGGGAAACGGAATGATTCAAATATAATTGAATGAATAAATAAAATAAAAAGAAACTTACATGAATAAAAAATTTATCACTTGTCGTACGGGTGTCCCAACTAATTGTAAATAAAAAAAATAAACGGGGTTGTTCAGTGTTCTATCAACATCACGGTCACTCATAGAGTACTTCACTCGTCACTGGAGGAGAGAGAAGAGCTTACGATTGTCGGAAATCAAGAGAGGGTAATTCTCAGTTGTTATCGAATTTATCCTTTTTCGCTGGGCAAGATTGAAGACCGGTAAACTGGAGTGGGGAATACCACCACTACAGCCGACTGTTTACAATTTAAAAATAAAAAAATGTCCTTCTAGTATCTTGACAAATAAAAGTAGATAATTGGTACGAAATCGACTCTACAAAATGCCCATTCGGATTTCGGCAAATATAGGAATATTTTAATCTACGAGGGTACTCGCAATTGTTGAAAAACGGTAATTCCTGGGAAACAGAAATACATGTCCTCAGGCGGGAATTAATTGAAATATACATTTTTAAATTAATTGAGAGCAAAATTTAGTGACTTCGCCACAAAGTACATATCAATACATTTATATATTTCATGTGCTTGTCTTTAACAATAAATATACAGGGTGACACAGAAAACCAGTAAATAATATGAAAAAACGCAAAGTCCCATCAATTTTATTTGGGAAAGGGGGTTACGTGGCACATCATTTTAAAGGGTGTTTAATTCTCTTTCCAAGGGTACCCTAACTTATTATCTTCTGACTAGCAGGGTTCGAAAAATTGCGTTTTAAAGTTATAGAAGTTGGAATGTGCCTGCTCTGAAATTCTTGATTTTCATTTTAAAGTAATCTTATAGTAAAATGTCAATGGTAATTAGACTGTATTTATCAAATGGCTTTTTTTTAATTCTTATCGTTGAAATTCCACAGATAGCCTGCCTCTTTGTTATTTACATTTTTTTAAATCTTGAAATAGCGGCTTTTTGTCAAGTAAAATAATTGTTTAACAAATTTTGACCATTTAGTGTTAGTATTGTTAATCCACTTAATTAAGTGAATAACTCACGAGCTATAAACTTAAACTGATGCAGAAGGTAATTTAGTTTTACAAGAGGATCTGTTACATTTCCAGCAGGATGGTGCTACACCTAATTTTTTTCTTCCCGTGTGACAGATTCCCCGACAGTTGGATTGGCAGAAGGGGAGCAATTAAATGGCCTTCCAGATCACCTTATTTAACCCTCTTAGACCTTTTTCTTTGGGGACACCTTAAATTCGTTATTTATGAAACACAACCTGCTGATATTGATGATCTTAAAAGGCGAATTACAGCAGCATGCCGGTCAATTCCCGGTGATGTTTTCCGAAATGTTAGAAATGGGTTCGGACACAGACTTTATTACTGTTTACAGTACAATGGGACAACATTTTGAACAGTATTTTAAAAAAGTGTACAAGTAGATCCCATGTGTTTTATTTTTAAAATTTATTGTGCAAATTAAAAGTTATTTTTGTAAAAATCACGTAACCAAAAAATAAAAAATCAAACTTGTAGATTTTATATTCCTTCTGTTTCTCAACTCGATAGAATCATTTTTGGTTAGGTTAGGTTAGGTTTTCGGAACCTGCTGGTCAGAAGATAATAAATTAGGGTACCATTGGAAAGATAATTAAACGCCCTGTGAAATGATGTGCCACTTGACCCTCTTTCCCATTTAATATTTTAAGGGTAACATCTACATAGGAGGTTGAGCCACGATTGTGGCTTCATATTATTTACTGGAAGAAAGATATTCAGGGTGAGAAGTTTTCGGTGTGTCACCCTGTATATTGTCTCTCTCGTAGTCACAGAACAACACTATGCTAAAAATTATTTTAACCCCAAGTGTCTTTATTCTAACTTTTTGGAGACACTTTGTTTATAAAAATGGTTCTAAATTACAGAAATAATGTTAAAAATGTTAAAAAATGTCTTAAGAAGTTGAATCTACTTATTATGTACCCATATTTTAGTCACCTGCAATAAACTGTATTGTTGTTTAAGAGTCTTCTATTTAATAGCGTTACACATTTTTCTGACTTTACACAATGAACGTCTTGGGTAATATCTATAGATATCCTCAGTAACAATAAAGAAAAGAAATGGTGATTTGATTTCTTGCTCCAGTCGCTCACAATTACCTTCTTTCTTGAAAGGTCTTAGGTATAAACACCCTAAGAAATATTTCGCAGCTGGTCCTTTCAGCATCCCTTTTAAGGGTATCAATGTTTAACCGCTTTTACTTTTACCGGTAGGTGGGAAGTAACGAAACATTAAAAATGGAATTCTAGCATTTATTGTGCTAATAAACTTTAGAGATATTACGTTTTTGCTAAAAAGGGTCCGAGTTATCGATGTTAAAAGCCTCTATACAAGTTCTAAGGGTTTGCGAGAGGGATGTTTCTACAGGAGGGAGTATTCGGCGATATGGACCTTCGACTTAAGACAATGGGGGTCCCGGGATTGCAGGAATTCCCGTGAAATTACTTTGAAAGGACAATCTGTTAGGGTCAGAATGTCGAGAGTAGCTCCAGCCAGTCCGAAATGTCTTAATATTCAGAAATTTATGTTTCTGTAATCTTGGTATCTTGTTAAATTAAATGTTTTTGGTGGAATAAATTAAGGAGAGAGATTTAGATTGACAAGGGATGTTCTGTCTACTGTTCTATTACTACGTTTGTTTCAGTATTTGGAATAATGTCGAATGGAGAAAATATTTATTTCAAGCAAGCTAGTTAAAAAATCCTTTTTATTATTGTTATACAGGGTTCTTCATAAGTTTATTACTTCGAATTTTCTAGTACGCAAAGAAATTGATATTGGATAGTCAAACTTCTATTCAAATAATTAAACGAGTAAATTATGTATTAAAAAATAAAAACTTAACATTTTAAATACCCTGTATACTGTAATTTTTAAATATATCTAATCCAGATGATTTACTTAAAATGTTTATCTTGTCAGAAGATTATTTAATGGATTTATGTTTGAATATAAATGACTTTCACCAGTCATTATTTTAATAGAACATTTTAGGTTTAACACAAGGATTAACACAAAAATAAACCTTTGTTTTTCTACATCCTTATTCTCTAAGCCGCTTTGTTGTATTTATTACTTATTAAAACTGATTTAATAGTTTTATTTTTGGTATATTATGAAACGTTCTACATTATTCAGTTTTGTTTTTTCATTATTTATAAAATAAGAAAACTATTATTAATGTTTCTATTTTCTAAATTAGAATAATTCAATTTCATGACTGTATATTGAGTTATAATCGAAAATTATTATTTTTTTAATTAAAATTTAAAATCGCATCAACGTTACTATTGTTTAGAATTTTTCCAATGCACAATTGTAATCTCGCCATTCTATCTATTGAATTTCTATTTTCTTTCATTACAAATAATCTAAACCCTCGAAAACCTTTTTTAAAATAGAACTGAGGAAAGGAAAGCTTTTTCTTTTAAGACTGGAACCGTTTTCCTAGAAACTCGCTGAATTACTGAAAAATAGCTTCGTATATAAAACTCGAGTGCGCCCGCCTCCAGTACGAACAAAAGAACCGCCTTCCGGTTGTGTATATACTCACAAAAGTGTTCTTGTCCAAATCCGACGAGTTTTTTTAAAATTTTATTTACTTGTTATTTATTATAGAAGGCATGAGAAAAAATTATTTACGGAAATTGTTGACAATTGAAAAAAATTTAATAATAATAATAAATAATAATCTTGATATACTCTTCACACAGTTGTCTGTGATTATAGGTTTACTTACTAGAACCAACATTTTTAATATTTGTCCAAATGAAGGGTACAGGGGAAAAACGGGCTAAGTCAATTTTTAGCAAAGTTGAGATATTGACGTCACTCGATAGAAAATATGCTAAATTTTGTTCTAAAAATATTGTCCACTGCAAGAAGAGTAAAGAGCTGTGTGTTATTGATGATTTTTATTGCCAAACATTATTAGGAATATTGTTCTACCATGGAAAGTGATTTAAGTGATTGTGAGGTTGTACAGATATGGTGTCTTCTACAAAAAAAGGCCAAAACATGGAAGATTAATAGATGTCAATAAAAAAACTGAAGGTACAAAGCCATGAAATTGGTAAGGAATGCGACTGCAAACGTTTACAGTGCTCCAGAAAGATTCCTGTGGAGGGTAAACAAAATATTGTAAAGAGTTTCAATCTTTTAGAGTCTACTGACATACAAAACTCCCATTTATGTGAACTCATTAGTATTGTTCCAGTCAAAAATAGACGACCTCGGCTGGATGAAGAAAATGCTCGTTTAAGTGATGTTGTAGCTCTTTATAATATTAGATATTTATATGAAAATAATTTTACGGAATTAGAGGTGTGTCGAGATGAGTTTATAGCTTTACATGGCATCACCAGACGTAGAATTGAGTATTTACTCACATCTTTGAAAAGTACTGGCATACCTCCAACCGGTAAAAAAGAAAAACACTCAAATATACCATTAAAACTGTCTAATGATACTCGTAATAAAATTAAAGGTAGAGACAGTCATTATAGTACCAAAGACTATTAGAAAAAATATTTGCCTGAAGAGCTCAACATAAAAAAAATGTGGAAAATGTTTAAAAAGATGCATCCCGGCAACCAAGTATCATAAGAGACCTACAGAACCATTTTCATCACAGATTTTAATATAGCTTTTGGTTACCCACGAACAGACACGTGCAGCACATATGACGAGTACCTAGCTAAAATGAAATGTCTGGAGCATGAAAACCAAAAACTAGATCAAACAAAGATGGAAGACATAACAGCTGAAAAAACTAACTGACCACATCACATGACCTGCATTTATGTAAAGCAAAATCATTTTATTCAATTAAAAAGCAATCAAAGCTTTCAAGTCGTAAATCAAACGTAAAAGAGTCAATCTGTATAGACGTCGGTAAAAAATTTCCCATCCCCAAAATTCCTACTAATGATGTATACTACAAGAGAAAGTTTTGTCCAATTATTTGTTCAACGTTCACATTCTCTCTGACTCAAGAAGTGTCTTTTATGTATACCCAGAAACCATCGCCAAAAAAGGTAGTGATGATGTTTCTTCTCTACTGAATCACTTTGTATATAATTATCTTGATTTAAATGTAAGACACTTGGATTTGTTTTGTGATTCCTGCGGTACACAAAACAAGAATTACACCTTTTTCCGCTACTTGTATAATCTTGTTCACCAACAAAAAGGTTTGATTCTGTACGGGTTACTTTCTCTATTAGAGGCCATTTTTAAATGGCAAATGATAAGAATATGGGAATCATCAATCAGAAAGCCAGAGTTGAAACTGTGAAGGAATTATGTGACTTCGACAATATTTCAGAAAAAAATTTTCGACCTTTGTAGTGGAACATATTTCAGAAGAAAAAGTGGATCGAACACTTGAATAAATTCTACAAAAAAAGCTAGGTTTTTAATTCGGCCAATAAAGCAATTCGAAGTTTCAAAAGAACACCTTAGGTTAATCAAGTATAGAGACACATGGTTCTCTGCAGTTGTGATGGATAGAGAACCTATCGTTTTCAAAAATTTGGAGAGAAACAGCCAATTTATTCTTCCAGAAATATTTTACGCAAGTAAATTTATACGCATTATACTGTTAGTTTGACTAATAAATTTTTCTTATTCGCTCCAGGTCCAATACCAATTTCGGCGGAAAAATTGGCCAATTTGCAAGATTATTTTTCGTCACTGGTGTATAATTGACTGGAAATATGAAGGACTTTTAATTTTTCATTTGAATTTAGTTAAAGTTCAGGTTCACTATATTAGTTACGTAGACATAAAGCTACTTGTTGATTGAAATAAACATACTTTAAAAAAACATTTTTCTTTAATTTCCGGGAAAAAACGGGCTAAGTCACGACCAATTATCAATAAATTGTTGATTTTTCTATCAAAATGTTTTTTAAATGCTTTCAATTTACGACCCAAAGATTCCAGATCAATAAGCTATTCTAAAAAAAATTAGAATAAAAATGGGGGTTAAACAGGTTGAAATATTGAAAAAAAAAACTCAAAAATCAAAAATGGTATAAACTTAAATTTTTTTGGGGAAGAAGCCCTTTGATTTGAAAAAATCTAAATAAAAATGGAGGTGAAGTAAAAAAAATCATAAATCAAAAAATAAAAGCGATATTAACATGAAATTTTTAGTAAAATCAAGCTCTGTAATGATATTGAACCTATTGATTAAAATGGGGGTTAAGGGTGGTTGAAATAATAAAAAAATCCTAAATCGGAAACGAAAAATTACATTTTGGCAACAATTAATCTCTATAAAGGAAAGAAGCCCTTTGATTTTGAAAAAAATCTGAATAAAAAGGGGGATTTAAGGGAGTTGAAATTAAAAAAAAAAAACATCAAAAATGAAAAGCCATATCAACATGACATTTTTAGTAAAAATCAAGCTCTGTAAGGAGATAAAGTCTTAAGGGCGGTTGAAATATTTAAAAAAATCTTAACTCGAAAACAGAAAACGATATTAAATTAAAATCTTCAGGCAAATTAAACTTTCTGGGATTATGAAGCCAAGCAAAATTAAATATCTTCATTCTAATTAGACATTATAAAAAGTATAGAACAAGTCAAGTTTACATAGTTTAAAATTTAAAATTACTTTAAACAGAAGTGAAATTAAAAAACTATTTAAAAATAGACACATGTGAACAATAGTAAGACAAACATTTTAGTAGTTTTGTCCTGCAGATATTCTGCCACATTGTAGTAATATTTGGCCAATAGCACTTTTTTAATTGCACTTTTATTTTGAAAATATTCAATTTTGAATTTACTTGAGAGATAATTGTACAATCTTGATAGGTTGGTGAACATTAATATTCTGTGTACAGAGCAACATGAACAGCATCATCAAGACATGCAGTCATGTTGGCTCTTTGTAACAATATGAAATTTAGACAAGAAATTTGTCATTGTTTAAATTTCGGACCTGTCTTAAGAAAAGACTTGCATTCAAAGCCCACACATGTTTATTCCTTGAGCAACAATTGTTCTCTAACTTTAACACAACGCTTTAACACAATAGAATCAAAATATATTTCCTATATATACCACCATTAAGTATGTTTCATTTTTTGGGTGAGAAGCTTGTTAAGATAAACCCAGTACAGTCCTATCGTACCGGCTTTAGCCGATGAATTTACAAGAGGGCCAAACCCCCAACGTAAACAGTCATCCTATTATGTATTTCTTACAATTTTTGAGAAAGTATTGAAATCGGTCCTACGTTGCTATGGTTAGGTGTACTTGTTGATTTTATTTCAGGAATTGTTTTGTGCGTTGATACTTGTCAAATAGTTTACACTTTTTTATAAAAATGACAATTATATTGAATTAAAAGCAAATTTAAATTGAAGTGAAATATAAAATCTTGTATGCACCACGGGCGTAAATAGATGATTATGCCCATCGGATAACATCCATCCCTCGGGCCAAAGGCCCTCGGGCTGGATCTGTTATCCTCCGGGCACAATCATCATCCTTATTACGCCCTTGGTACATAAATAGCTATTTTAAAAAATTGATGAAAAGAATCAAAACATCTGAAAAAAATACCCGAGTACAAGTAACATGAGTGACAAAAAACATCAAAGCAAGATTTACATCGTTTCAGATTGTAAAACAGGATAAAAATCAAATGTAAAACCAAAGAAAACACAAGAAGAAATCAATTCAATGTCTTTAAAGTTTTTAATGTAAGTAAAATAATGTATTCATGTCTAAATATAATATTTATTGTAAACTAGTCACAATATGTATCTTACGAAGTGTAGTTTATTTTATTATAAGTTTCTATAATATAAAATTTTACAGTTATAAAAATCTGCTGACTTACAAACAACAATAATTATGCATTAAATTTAACTTACTAGAAAAGAAAATTTATTTTATAGAGTTTTAATGTTAGATAAATAGTTGCTACTGTTATTTTTTTTTGGACCCCAATTGTGTCATTGTAAATGTTTTTTATAGGATACTAAACATTTAGAACTGTGGCAGCATATATACAGTTCCTAGTGCCGATAAAGCACTTTCTAGAGATGATGCTGTTCTATACTTTTTAGAAGATATTATCAAATATTATGAGACTATTTTTACTGATGGTACTGTTAGCAAAATAAAAAGGGGAAAGCTGAAATTAAAGGATGCGGCAATACCATGTACATTCCCAAATCTCCCTTTATACTTGTATTACAACATAAAAAATCTGTTAACTGTGTTTTATTTTACTCTTAAAACTATATATTGATTCAATTAAAAAAAATTGCCACAAAATTGTACACAAATTTCATCAATTAAGAAACATTTTAGAATTTGGTCATACATACCTAATTTGTATTTTATATAGATAAAATTAAATAATTTATCAATTAAAACATGCAAGACTTATTTATAAATAAATACAACAGTATGTTCTGTGCTTTATTTAGCTGTAAACAAGTTTATTTTTATTATTTTGACAAAATTATGTATAATTTCCATAAGAAACCATGTATTTTGAACAACGTATGCAGTACCAGCGCCCATGCGGTTAATTATAGAAGCTCAATTAGCATGCGTTTTTTGGGACCATATTTTGAGTATGCCGATTCGTCTCCTTATCTCTAGTCTTCATAGGTAAAACGCTGGCCATTTTTAACATAGATGGAAATTTACCAGATGACAATTATAGATTATCGAGGCAAAGTGTTCTGCAATGTGAACAGCGACATCTTTTAATATTTCACCCGAACTTACTGTTTTTATTTTGTCACCTGACCTCTGCCTCTGTCGAAGAAATTCTATATGGTTGTAAAACAATTGATGCTCCTTAAAACAGTTTCATGTTATCTGTTTGACTTGTGTATTTATTTTAAGTAGAAATACATTATCAAGTAAAAGAGTCTGAGCCAGGCCTGCACAACTCAGATTTTCAAAGGGCCAGTTTGAGAAACCGTAAGTGGACGAGGGCCAAGAGAGGTCTGAGCCTATAGTGGTCTTTTTAGATTCTAAAAAAAAGGTCTCGTTTTATAAGTCTGCCCAGTTTTTTCTAAAAAAAAGGTCGTCAGCTTATGATAAGCAAAAAAAAAAGAAAAACAAAGGTCGTCAGCCTAAATGCAAGTTTGTTACTGAAAAATGCATAGTTTGACGGCCAACGGGCCGCCAAAACGAGTTTTGTAAAAATTACACAATATTTACATTTTCTCTTCTCAAAAAATTGTTGTCATATTTATTTATAATTATGGTTCTCACCACTGCACCATGAAATGCTAATTTTTCACCCAAAATAACAAATATTCTTTTTTATGAAATAAATATTAGAATAAAGGGGTTTTTTGGGTTAGCTGATTTTAAATATTGTAATAAAAATTATGAATATAAAATGGTGGATCCAATACGGCGCTCGAAAATATTAAAAATTACTTGATTTGCATAAAAATTAAACCAGAATGGTTTTTAAAAGGTTTTTGGAATCGCTGAGTTTGACATTAATAATTGGAAATGCAAAATGGCGTAGC